CAACTTTCCTTTATGGCCACCTGAAGGTAACAGCTGGCCGCTCATGTTTGGATTCATACAATGTGACTCCTGCTCTCCCAGGTCCCTCAGGGTCTCTCCCAGCCAGGACCAAGGAAGGGGAGACTTTTGCTCACAATATTTGACCCACTTCAAAAAATTTTAAAATATATGACCTCATCCTATCCCCATGAGTTTTGTGACAGAAATTTAATTGACATGGGACATGCACAATAGGAAGACTCACAATAAAGGAGAAAGAAAAGACGTTCTGCCACTTAGAGCCTTCCTGATGTGGACACACATCAAAGCCCCAATTTCTTCATGTGTGAGAGGGACAATCAGACCTGCCCGCCCTGCTCAACTAGAGATAGGCCTGTTCTGACGGCCTCGCAGGCAGCTCGCAAGGAAATGATGATTTTGAAATCGTTTTGTAAACATCAAAACCTGTGTAATGCGAGTTAATGAATTAACCAAGCTACTCCCTTCATTAAACAAAGTCAACAGTTTTATAAGCTTCACTGTTGACTTCTAGAAATTCAATTCGTATGTAATTTCCCTTTACCTGCTTTGCTTCCTCTTTATCCTCTGATATACATATTCCTTATATGTATATAGAAGTTCTGCTACACACACATTCATATATATGGATATGTGTGTAGATATATACATATTATGAAATATGCATATTATGTATATACTCATAAGACATATATAAAACATATGTGGGCACATTTTATAATCCTGTTGTTTCTATCACTAAAATCATTATTTTCTATTATTTTCACTTAGACCCTTAGTTGCTCCAACTCCAAATTGCCCACTTTCTCCTTCCCCTAATCTCGGTGACCTGGGTCCGAAGCCTTTTGATTTGACCCATTTGAAAATCAAATGTTATCTGCATCTCCCCCGCACACCCCTTTCCTGGGAAGGGCTGTCTCTGTCACCCCCCAGGTGTGTATTGACTTTCAACAACAATTTGTGATGCCAGTCATTTCACATGCCTGTGTGATCACTTTATTTCCCGGATCCTCACGATTTTTCTGTGGCCGTATCCTCTGCCTGCACTCTGCCCGCCCTCGGTTATCTCCCTCACAACCTTTTTGTGTATGGCCGATTCCCTGATGGGTAGCTGGATTCCCAGATCCTTGATATTCCAAGTGGGCCCTCCAGACCACAGCGTCAGAACCTGTTGGAAAGGTGGGAGTTCAGGCCCAGCCCAGACCTAGGGACTGCAATGTGCGTCTGACCAGCCCCAGGTGACTTGTATGCACAGTCGAGTTGGAGAATCCCTGTCTCGGCCTGTAAGCAGCTCTGGGTGCCCCACAGCCGTGGGGATTCTGAAGCAGACCCGGGAGAAGGAAGGCAACAATCAACCACTGCCACGGGCACAGCCTCATGGGGATTCACTGTGGCTAAAAACTGAGGTCAAGTGGGATCAAATGCAGCTTAACTGGCCTGGTCACCGGGTTACTCCTCACAGAAGTGCTTCTCGCTGCTGTTGCTGCTTTCCTTTCCGCTGCTTCTCTGCCTCGGGCTCCTGCTTCCTCCAGGCTCTCTGGGCTCCATGCCCCGCCCTCCCCCATGGGTGTGAGACCTCCTGGGCCAGGCCAGGCGGAGACATGTGAGCACTCACGGCACTAACCCTTCAGCTTCCCTTTTAATATTCTTTAAATACTCCATCAGCATTTATTTAGTCACAAGTGATGTTATTTTTTAAAATGTGGTAAAATAGCACATAACATTGTACACTTAAACCATTTTTAACTGTACAA